GCAGTGCTATGCTGGCTAGCACTATGGAAGAAAGAGACTTGGGGGTCATCATTGACCACAAGACGAACACGAGCCTGCAATGTGATGCTGCAGCTAGTAAAGCGAGCAAAACGCTGGCTTGCATCCATAGATGCTTCTCAAGCAAGTCCCAGGACGTCATTCTCCCCTTGTACTCGGCCTTGGTGAGGCCACAGCTGGAGTACTGTATCCAGTTTTGGGCTCCACAATTCAAAAAGGATGCGGAGAAGCTTGAGAGAGTCCAGAGAAGAGCCACGTGCATGATCAGAGGTCAGGAAAACAGACCTTACGACAACAGGCTGAGAGCCACAGGGCTCATTAGCCTGGAAAAGCGCAGGCTCAGGGGTGATCTGATGGCCACCTATAAGTTTATCAGGGGTGACCACCAGGATCTGGGGGAACATTTATTCACCAGAACGCCCCAAGGGATGATGAGGTTGAATGGTCATAAACTACTACAAGACCGTTTCAGGCTGGACATAAGGAAGAATTTCTTTACTGTCCAAGCCCCCATGGTCTGGAACAGCCTGCCATCGGAGGTGGTTCAAGTACCTACACTGAACACCTTCAAGAGCAAGCTGGATGCTTATCATGCTGGGATCCTATGACCCCAGCTGACTTCCTGCCCTTTGGGCGGGGGGTTGGACTCGATGATCTTCTGAGGTCCCTTCCAGCCCTAATGTCTATGAAATCTATGAAACTACAGGAGTAGTTTTTCTCACTTCCATACAGATCTCAATTTTTTCATTGTAGCGCAAGGTCAAGTGCTTTGCTCAAACTCCAAATTTTACAGGACAACACACTGAAGATAAAGTGTGCCACACTTTAATTTTAGTCATCACAGATGTAAAGTAACCTAATGCTGATATGTGAAAAACAAAAGATGGCTAAGTAGGGGGAATCATGTATCATGCCAGAAATAGCAAGGTAACCTACATTTTAATTTTTTTGCCGTTTTCATCTCTGGATCTCATCAGTATCAAATACAACACTTGTTCCTGAAACACGTATAACGATGCTCCTTATTATGGTTATTCTGACAGACAAAAAAAAACTCGTCTTTGTTTGCTCTAAAGACCATCAAGTGCACCGCTGAACTGCTCATACGGCTTCATGCAGTGACACATAGCACTCCTTTTCTCATACTAGGGCCTAATTTTCTTCATAGCACTCTCACCCCATTCAGACTAACATGGTTAACTCCCTCTCTCAACCCACTGTCCCAAAAGGAAAAGAATAAGATCAATTTTAATCTGACTTCATGCAGTACTGCCATTCACTGGATGACCAGTACCACATCCCATGCCTAGCAGGCAGAGTTCAGCTCAAGGCATAATTGAAAGAATGTGTAAAGAAGGAGTAAAAAACTTACAGGCTACAGTGGGATGAATTGGTAATGGCTGTTTTGTGTTTACCTTAAACGGGTATCTGCTACTTTCACTTTTCAACTCATCTGGAGTGAAGATTTTCCCAATGAACCTTTTGGCATCATATATGGTATTCTGTGGATTAGAATCTGCCAGTTCTAGGCCATCATACCCTACATACACATCCCGGTCAGTGAAGGAGACCATGCTCGGTATGCTATTGTGCCCATTTTCATCTGGAATAACCTTCACCTCCCCTGTGCCAGGCAGGAACACACCAACAGAGCAGTAAGTGGTACCAAGATCAATGCCGATGACTTTTGGTGTAGGCATAGGTAAATACTGCTGTGCCAGATAGCCAGCCAACAGGAGAGCCAATACCGCCGAACCTAAAACAAGGAGAAAAAGCACTGTTAAAGAGCATACATCTCTGAAAACTTAGAAGCTCACAGCTGTAACACTAGTGTACTCATCTTAACACGTTTAGTTTGGTGTAAACATATAATGTGGGTTTCACATGGAAAACTATTTGCCCGCTTAGTTTCATTTCCTCAGAAGGTCAGCAACAAGATTCTGTCTGACAATTCAGTCAGCGAGTCACTAGTGTCAGTAACAACATCTATTCTCAGTTACAAGACAGAAACAGCAAACAAACAAACATCACCACAACACCATAGTAATGCTGCGATTACTTTTCTTTTTCAGTTGCTTTATGAACATTAGTTAATCCTCAATTCCCTGGGAGGCAGAGATGGATCTGGGGGCGAGGGGAGCACATTGCATCCCCCTTTAATGCCTGTTCCCCCTACAGTTTAAAACCAACTGCCTGGCAGTGGCAGCAGCATTTCTAGTCAGACAATGCTAAGGAAGTCAAATTACTTCATGGCTCATTATTGTCTACCCGATCCCTTCTAAACTCTTCACTGCACAGGCACTCAGGACCCTCTCTTCTTTTTAACATTCTTAATGTTCCACCAGTCAAACCAGCCTTTATCCTGCCACCTGTTGGCTGCTCCTGAAGCTCTTATTTCACCACCCTGTGGATTGTTTTTACTTGTTCTAATGAAGTTCTATTTTCAATCTTAAACTGCATAATCCAGCCCTAAGCCCTTGGCATGTTAATAAAGCTGCTAGTTTCTTTTTTACTGGAGGGAAAAAAAGGGTTTTGTTCTATATGTGATGATGCATCTCACCAACTGCACCCCTCTTCTCAAATTTCTAGATCTGTCCAGGCTGGGAGGTAAGTTTGGTTTCTATATGGTAGATGTGTTAATCTGTGCAACACCACACAACAACAATGACAACAAGGCTAAAAAGTGAGAAGTCCAAGAGTTTATGCATCCTGATTCATGGTGCAAACATCTGCTCCCCATTTCTCTCTCCTCCTATTCGTCTCAGAAAAGTAAACATGTATACAAACACAGAAAAATACACGTGTGCTGAGGGAGTCAGTTGAGTTCATGTATCACTGTAATCTGCTTGAATGCATGTGTATATATCCATTCTTTTCTGGGTCAAACAGGAGAGAGAAGTGGTGGTGGGTGTATACACCATGGTTTGCTCACTCACTCATACACACTTCTTCCCTCACTTGGCCTGTCTAAATGGGGTCACTGTTGCGTGTCCTGACTCTCCATCAGCAGGTAGATTTGTTCCCTGGTTCCATACCATGATTTGGCAGAGACTTTTACAGCCAGATGTCCTTTCTGACACTAACCTTCCTCCTTTAGCTGGGCTTGGGACTGGCACTGGATGGGTGGAATTGCTCATCCACTGCAGACTTTACACACACCTTCCCCTGCCCCCATAATCTATTCAGATAAATGACAGTGCGCCATTAACTCAGCTGACTCCCTCAGCACTGCTTGACTAGAGAAGCTGCTGACATTGCCAAGCAATGGTTTTAAAGTCTGGGTGGAGCACTCTCCTCCCCCATTCACACAAATTCAACCTCAACTTACACAGTGTATCACTGTCCCCTGCAAGTGGTGCCAGGCTCAGCGCTCAGCTGGCACAGCCCAGACAGCGCTGCTCACAGGGGATGGGGCTGCACCAGCTGAGCACTGAGCCTGGCACCGCTTGCAGGGGATGGGGACAAAGCTGGGCTCAGTGCTCAACTGGCACTGCCCCATCCCCTGCAAGTGGTGCTGCCTGGGCCGCACCAGCCAAGCGCTGAGCCCAGTCCCATCCCCTGCGAGCGGCACAGCCCAGCTCCCCCCAGAGACCGGGCTGGGCTTGGCACTCAGCAGCTCCACCTGCACCACACAAGACCAAGTTCAACACTCAGCTGGTGTGATCCCATCCCCTGCCAGCAGTGCTGGGCTTGGTACTCAGCTGGTGTGGCCCAAGCAGCACCACTCAGAAGGGATGAGGCCAGAGCACCGAACCTATCCCGTGCAAGTGGCGCTGTGGTACGTGTCCACCTCTCGGTTGCCCGGCCCGCAGTAAGGGTGTGCAGAGGCCGATCCAAGTCGACCTCATATTTATGATACAAAAAGGCGGATTTATACACTGAATCTAGGAAAATCCTACCTTCTGGATCAGAAAAACGGGGTCGACCTATATATCGGGCCGATCTAGACACCGTGAAATACGGTACATACATATCCACATATATGCGTACATATACACGCGTGTCGGGGGGCCGCGGGCCGGCGCCACGCGGCCGCGGGCTGTTGACCCACCCAGCCCTCCCCTGCAGCGACCCTCACGAGCCTCACCCAGCACCGTCATCTCTCCGGCCATGGCGGTCGCGCTCCCTGCCCGGCGCCGGTCCCGCGCTGACTGTTCTTTCCGGCCGGGCAGCCGGGAAATCCCCCCGTGCCGCGCGGCACGCTGGGAGGAGTAGTCCGCGCACACGCACGAGCCCCTGCGCCGCCCTAGCGCTCCGGGCCCCACAGAAACTACGACTCCCGGCAGCCACCGGGAGAGGATACGTCTTGAAGTTACAAAGACACGTTGCTGATCCGCTCAGAGAGAGCGGGGACTTCCGGTAGGGGGGAGGAAAGGTCTCTTTGCTTCTAATGCGCATGTCCGGAAAGAAGAGGCGAGACGGTGGGAGGAGGGCGGCTGGAGTTGCAATGCCTGCTGGGAGGGGTCGGCGCCCCGGAAACAGGCTGATAGAGAGGCGGTGCCAGACCTCGGCGCGCTAGGGGGCGGGGCTTCGTGCGACAGCTGGCGTGCGCCATCGTCTGTCAGGGGAGAGCGCCCTCCACACAGCTACCTAAGAGTACCAGCACCATTACTGTATTATGTATCACCTTTATGATCATTATTACAATAATATTATTGCAATAATTATAATAATATATATTACAATAATAATTTATTATCATTTTACAATAATATTGTAATGATAATAAAGTTGATGCATAATATATATGAAACATGCAACAGAATTTTTAATAAAATACGTATAAAATGTAGTGTATATGAAAGTGTGTGTGTGTGTGATGAAATGTGAATTATTATAATGACTGCTGGGTTCATTGTCCCTGCTACCTCATTCTCAAGTCACCATTTTCCAGCTTTTCCCCCCAATCTGCCTTTATTTTGTTTTGTTTTATTTGATGAAACATGAGATTGTCAAACGATCCCCAGGCACCAAGAGCAGGGACCTTTGCAAAAAGACCAAATGTGCCCCAAAGTCTATGATTCAGATTGACGGTGGCAAGGGAGCAGGCTGAGGCTTTGGGCACAGCGGCTGGAAAAATCAATTGACTCTCCCCTGCCGAAATGTCAAAGCTAGGAACTCCAAAGTGATATGATGAGCCCTTTTGATTTGAAACGATACAGGGGTGGAGGCATTATTTGTCTGATGGTTTCTGAACTTCTTGAGCTTACTAAGATTGCATAAGCAAACTTCCTTCTTAGCCACAAAGGATAGAAATTTATTGGCTCATATTTTCACATACTCACTTGAATGATTAGAGGGGGCTGGACTCGATGATCCTCCAGGGTCCCTTCCAGCCTAGACGTCTATGAAATTAGCATCCAGTCTTCAGAAAAACACCCAGCACTGACAAATTTGCCATGAAGTCCCAGAACTCCGAATGGGCATAGCAACAAGCACTACATCCATTTCTAACAAGGAAAGTGCTCATTTGTGCTATTTAGGTTTGGCACATTATAGAGATCCAAGTACCCTTGGCAGATTCAGGGCATCCATTTGGGCCACAGTTTCCTAATCTTACATTTGCATTGCATCTTCCATTCAAAGGGTGTGTAAACTCCTTGTGCCTTGTTGGGGAGCAGCAGTATTAATGGCTAAACTTCCCACCGCAAGACATTTTGTGATTTTTTTTATTCTGAAGACCTCAAGACCCTCCTTCCAATCTTAACAACATCATCTGAATATATATAGAAAAGCAGGGCTGGAAGGGACCTTCCCTGCATGAGGCAGGATCATGCCTATCCACCCATACAACACCCCATACAAATCCTTGTCTAACATATTCCTAAAACTACACAGTCAACCCTGTTGCACATCTACAAGGCATATTGTCCAAAGACACCAAAAGCACCCTAATCTGCCACAGATAAAGATGGAGGATGAGGGCTTTCAGGGTCCCACTGTTGTAAAGGTTGTTAAAATGTGCTTGAGAGATCCACACCCCTCCCTACAGAGGAAGGCAAATCTTCCAACAGTCCATACCAATCTGGCCAAGGGGTAATTCTTTCCTGATCCCAAATGTGATGACCCTGCGTGGAGGGGCAAGACCCTTCAACTTAGAACCTCCAGAGTCTAAGTCCCAGCAGGAGCATTGGCACACCCTAGTCAAAACCCAAGCTAATGCCCAAAGCTTAGGCAAAAAGAGCAACCCCTGTAGCAACAGGAAGGGGAAGAGTTCCTTCCCAGTTCTGTGTAACAACCAGCAAAGCCCAGAATCACACTTTCTTGCTGGACAGCTATAACTCCTAGTTCCTCCATAAACATAATTAAGCTGCTTGTGGAGCACGGCTTCGTTCTTCTCCTGCTAAGTATAGCCCTCGAATATTCACCTGCTCTAGGCTTCAGAGCTCTTCTCATTTCCCAGTGGTCTGTTGTGAGGGGGTTGCTCCTGGGCTTCTAACTGTTGCTCTTTACAAATAATTCCAGGCATAGCTACTCCTAGGTCATCCTTGACCAGCGCCTGTCCAACCTCTTATTCGACACATCCAGTAATGGAGATGCCACAACTACCCTAAGCAGTTTGTTCTACTGCCTCACTGTTCTAATAATGAAAACGCTTTCCCGTTATCCACTCTAAACCTACTTTGCTGCAAGGCTATCCTTGGGGCACAGCGGGACGCAATTCCTCTGTGCAGGAAGGTGGGAAAAGGGTCCAAGAAACCTTCATGGCTGAGTGTGGATATCCAGGCTGGCCTGAGGGCAAAGAAAAAAGC